GACCCCAGAGAGCAGTACCGCCTGCCTCTACACTTCGGAGCGCCTCGCCCCGTCAGCCCTATGCTGTCCTCCGCAACGTAACGCTAAATACAGGACCGAGTTCGTCTCCAGTAATTGATGACACTATTAATTTTTTCCTCTCTTCTTGGGAACACGGAAAGCTGTCTGCCGACAGGCCTTGAGTAGCCTCACACCCGCTGGAGACCCCGATCTGTGACCCAGCACTGGGTCTGGACAAAGGAAATAAGACTTTCCGGTCTCAGAAGACAGTGAAGTTAAAGGTCAGCTAGAGGAGCCTCTCGGGTCTTCCAGTCAAAGAGACGGCCGGTTAGTATAGTAAAGAGACGGCCGGTTAGTAAAGAGACCACAAAAAGCACATAAGGAAAGGCAAATACGAACACGTACGTTAGAGTTGCAAGAACAAGGCGTGAAACTGAGTGCCACAAGGAAAAGGTGACCGCATTTTTTTTGTATAACCAAAATAAGTTATCAAACTAGTCTCTTAAGGGCCCAGACTCGATACAGAAGAGAGGGAAACAAACGGGCCCTGCCTTCTCGAGCGTTGTCTAATCCCAGCCCGAGAAACTACCCAGAAAAGCTAGCCAACTCAGCCTTTCACCTCTTTGCTCCCTTTCGCTAGAAGGCAGCCACCGAACAGGTCTGTACAGCGATAGCCAAGGTTCAGCACATACCTGCACCATCTCCAACACATGGAAATCAATTGAGAAAGTTTCTTGTACGCCTTGTACGACAAGAACATCAACTCTTCACTCTATAAAACTACAATCCTCATTTGTGCCCGTTACAAAAAAGAGTAACACTGAACCTAACTCAGACTCACACAAATTTTCCACAATTATTTTCACACAGCCCCCTCTCTATGTCCCCTCACCACGCCACCCAAATCAACTAGCCTGCTCCACTGCTATAATATTTCATGAATTCAGGAAGCAAGTTTCTGGTGAACACCACTAAAGTAACCTTTTCCACTTAAGTTTCTACGGCAATGCCAGGGGGACCGGACAGAACCCCTTTTACTAGAAACATATCTGCTAGATAGCCATTGGAAGCTGGAAATGAATCATCTTGGTATCTCTTCTCAGGAGGCAGTACAGATGAAGATGACTGACCCCGCAGAACATACTGATGTAGCAATCTGAAAGGCAACAGAGCTAAGTACAACTTAAATTTAGTCTGTGAGAAGATCCAGATTTGAACTGACCTGATGTCTCCTATCTTATATTTTGTATTTGCATTGCTGGGAGGGAAGCCACAACTCATACGTGACTATCCTTATAGCCTTAGTATATAGGGGTTATATAAACAAGGCTTTGGAAATCAAACTGAAGCGCACCATCTCATGCTTCCCACCTACAGGATGTCTGAAGTTCATCTGATAAACTACAGTGCATCATTAAAATTCCAGTGCAGAGAACAGTACGTCACACAAACTATTCCGAGTCTCAGACTGTCACAGCTAAATATATTGTCTTCACATAGACCTTCACTCAGTGGTGTCTAAAATACAGGAATAATTTAAGGAAAGCACCTACTTTCCTGTAGCCTATGTAAATCCATAAGGCAAAAATCAGGTTAACAGAGAATCACTAAAGAACCATCAAAGGAAAAAATTTTAAAAAACCCAATCCCAGCAGAAAGGTCATTTTACAGTTGTATATTAAATTATGCATTAGATGCATAACACCACATACATGTTATTAATATTCCACCACTGCAGAGAGACCAGGCAAAGCCCTTATTCTCACGTTGTTGGACAATGTGTACAATATACAAGCAAACATTCATTTCTGAGCATGAAATGATCTCTGGTTTAGCAGTGCTCCTTTTTATGGTATTTGCAACAGGAACTATTATGACTGTGATTTTCAATGGTGAAAAACTAAAATTATTAAATTGTATACACAAGCATGCTCTGCAGAGAAGTTAAGTCTGAACTACTAGTAATTTTTTAAATGGTATCTTTTTTCTGGAAAGAAACATGACAAATTTTATCAAAATTGTGCATTTACGCAAGTGACAGTAATTAAAGCATTTAGCTGCATTGTAGATGGTTTTTCAGACAAATAAAACTAAAAAGCTTAAAATATCTCCCTCTCTAGATTAAAACTCATGCTGCTTTCTTACACTTTACTCCTAATGGAAATAAACACCAATTTCCTAATTGTTTATTTTGGCTTCTCAGAAATTTTTTTCTTCTGTTTTGCTCCTAACAGCCTGGAATAAAAAGCTCCACCTGTCCTTCCTACAACTGTAGAAGATTAACAGTACCATGAAAGCATATACAAAACAAGTAACAGTTTAAAACACTAGTATCATCAGAACATGTT